ATCGCACATTTTCACCATTCCGGACCCGGATCTCAGTTATGCATGGACGGATTTCATTCAAATTTGGTACATACATTAAACATAATAGGACCTTGATGCACGTCATTTTTTTTTTCGGATCAAGTTCGAAATAGCCGACTGGCGGCCATTTTGTTTTAAAGAATTCAGTTCTGGATCCGTATCCGAGACATGTCTGGATTGATCAAGTTCAAACTTCACACACACAAGGTACATCATGTCACAAATATGTATGTGCATTTGTTTCATGATCTCATTAACGATAGCCAAATGGGGGCCGCTTTAAGGCCGAAAATGCATTGAAATCGCACATTTTCACCATTCCGGACCCGTATCTCAGTTATGCATGGATGGATTTTGTTCAAATTTGGTACATACATTAAACATAATAGGACCTTGATGCACGTCTTTTTTTTTTTCGGATCAAGTTCGAAATGGCCGACTGGCGGCCATTTTGTTAAAGAATTCAGTTCTGGATCCGTATCCAAGACATGTCTGGATTGATCAAGTTCAAACTTCACACACACATGGTACATCATGTCACAAATAGATATGTGCATTTGTTTCATGATCTGCTTAACAATAGCCGAATGATGGCCATTTTAAGGCCGAAAATGCATCAAAATCACGTATTTTCACAATTCCAGAACCGGATCTCAGTCATGCATGGATGGATTTTGTTCAGATTTAGCACAATGTGTTGTACATATGCAGGTGCATTTCGGTCATGATCTGCTTTGAATGTATATGTCACTCAAATATGAACGGAACGGGGACGTGTCATTGACAATGACTTGTTTATTTACTTATTGACTCTTACACAATCCCCGGAGGGAAAGAAAATGGTCACAAAGTACAAGGAGAAATATATATATAAAAAAACAAAACAAAAACACAATATACTAAATAACAAATACAATCACTAAATTACTAAATAATACAAAATCTCTAAAATACAATCTAATATAAAATTACAAAATTGACAGCAGGCATTAAGATGTCAAGTAAGACCCTGCTTCCTGACTTCAAAGCTTTTACTTATGAACTGTGCTACTGGTATAATAATGTTTTCATTCTGTAACAATTCCATGAATTTTTTCTCTGCAGGTTTATTTTCAAATGCTGGGATCATATCCTTAGCTTTATTGAACAGTTTGGCACGCAACTCATTATATTTGTTGCATTCCAGCAGAAAATGCATTTCATCCTCAATTAGACCTTTGTTACACATGTCACAAACCCTGTTGTTTAGTGGGATTTTTTTTATGACGACCCATTTCAATTTTGAGACTATGGCGTCATTGACATGGTCCACGAGATCAAACATGGAAGTCAACGCTGCGTCGATTGAAAGTTATTATTTAGTTCTCATCTGATGACTGAGAGGAATCAAACACATATATCCGACGTCTTTTCGGTGGAATTGTTGAACTATCATTGTTGGCAATGTTGTAATGTACGTGTACATTAAATACTCCGCCGGAAATGGGGCCTCCAAATATCGGTGTGGATTGTGAACTCAAGGTCGAGGCATGATGGCTGATATTGGTTGATGTCAACTGGGACGCGATGTTACGTTGTGGTTGAGGTTACATAACAGAAGGTATTGATGTTTGGCACGGGTTTGATGTGCTATAGTTAGGGGTGGCTACTTGATTATTCAAAATGCCAGAAATTTCTCTGTGTTGGTTTTCTGATATAGTGCTGTAGGCATTGACGGACTGAATGTTACGATGACCGGAGATCTGCATTATTTGTGTCGGTGGTATATTTTGGTCACTTAATTTCTGGATGAGATGCTTTCTGGCACTATGATTTGTGAGGCATTTGTTTGGGGGTAAATTTGCTGCAGTTGCCATATTTTTCATCAGGGAACCTATTTTATTAATTCCGATAGGCTGGTGACGGAACCACTGCTCACCCGGTCTGGGCAGTCCGCGAGAATGCGTGGCGATGTAGTATGGGTCGTCACTATTTGTGTAACCAGCTGGCCGTAGACTGAGGTATTTTTTGAAAATAGCAACTGGACATCTTCTGGGGTTCGCAGGGATGTCCCACATCTTTGGCTTCACTTTTCTGGTATCCCTTGGATTTTCTCCAGTCCGAATTTTAATTTGCCGTTCAGAGAACTCAAGATATTCGCGACCGCTACTATCAGTACATAGGCTCACATCTCCCCAACACATGTTACGGTGCTCGGTATTACCCCTCAGACCAAAATGTACTGTGTTATAAAACCACATAGTATTTATTATGGCTTCAGGACTGTGGGACCCAAACTGTCCCGATTCCCACAGAATTTCGATTTCCTCATCTGTAGCCGCCTCAGCTGTTCGCGGTAGGTTGCCTTTACCATCTTTCTTTAATTTCTTCTGTTTTGCTTTTATTGTTTCCCGCACCTCATTAAACTCAATACTACTGATCAGTGAATACATGTATTTGTGTCGTTTCAGGTGACGTTCAAAGCTAGAAAGCATAGATCGTAAGGAAGTAGGCTCGTAGTCATCACCGCTTGGTTTACGGACACTGATAAAAAATTTGCATAAAATTGTTTCCAGTTCATTTGGAGGGATTTCGTGGATTTCTCTAGCTTCGTTTATTTCTGGTGTCTTCAAAAATTGGCCCAGTAATCTCAGTTTTCTTGGCTGTGTTTTTGTTTTGTTGAGTTTTGATTGTTCTTCTGACATCGTCATCGGTGACTGGCACAAATCTACATGGTCGTGAAGGCCCGGCCTCGGCGCCGTCGCTGTCAGTGGTCTGTGCTGTCGCTTCACCCAAGGAAGCATTTTCTGTGACAAAAACAAAATGTTACATTTGTTATTATAAATATAAAAATAAATTCATGTTGTGGAATCATTTTATTTAGTACTCGCAGTATTGTGATGTATTTTTACCCAATGCATTATGCGAGCATACAATACGCCCAGTGATCATGATCTCAGTTTATCAGTTCTGACGAAAGAAAAAACGTAAACGTACCTTCACTTGGTCTTTCTTGCTCATCATTCATAAATTCTGTCACGTCTATATCAAAAGTATTGACTAAGTCGCCCATATGTATCATGATTTCGAATGTTCGATCAGCTGAAGGTTTGTTTACTTTGAGATGCAAATTTGTACGATTGACAGCAGACGAAACATTATCATGCCCGAACTATTTTTGGGTTGGGAGAATTGAGACTGTGATGAATATCTTTAATATTTTGTTTATTCAACAGCGATAAAATCAGAGATTATATAGAATCTAAAAATCTAATAAGTATAATATGTAATAATTTCTACATAATTTGTCATTAAAATCTGCCTCATTATAAGTGTTGCATAATTCAGTACTAACTTTACTGATTAGGTCAAAGGTGAAATTAGCTGTATTGGCCTATCACATCACAGACTTAAAGTGTGACGTCACTTTC